AAAGCCAGCCCGAGTTTCAAACTGCTAAAACGCAGTTTCAAATGCAATTGAAACTCGGGCCCTGACTAAACTGCTAAAACGCAGTTCCAAATGCAATTACTACGCCGTAGTTTTCTCTAGTTAAAATTGTCATGTTTTTCAACATTCATGAAATTGAGCATAGAAAAGAAAGTAGTATTTTGAACATCACATTTTTCGTGTCCCCAAGACATCGGACCATCTGATGTACCTTGGCATAACACCTTAAACCACAAATTGAATTGCAAACTGTACCTTGCCCCATATAATAATTGCAATTATAAATCGTTTTTGTTACTCTACTGAAGTTACCCCATGAATTCTGGATGCATTCTGATGGTACCTTAAACCACCAGTATGGTATTAACCTTTCTCAGCTATCGAGCCTAAAACTACCCTGCGCGCCAAAAAAACGAACCAGCATGGACCTCGTTTTGGCTGGCGCCACCAGCCATTAAGTGCAGGGAGTCCCGAGGCGACCCTGCCCACCTCCTTGGTTAACCAGCGGGCATTTGGTTTTCAAGCAGGGAAGGGGTAACTTCGGTAGAGTCACAAAAAAGAGTTATAATTGCACTACTATAGGGCAATATGCCATTTGCAATTGCACTCCGGGCACCCTACCTGGCCAGAAAGCTGGGTTGTATACATTCCCCAACTGCAATTCGAAACTGTATCTTGCCCCATAGTTCAATTATAACTCGTTTTTGTGACTCTACTGAAGTTACCCCATGAAAAAAATTCCAAATACATCAGATGGTCCTATGTCCGCAGGACGCTGTACGTTCAAGGGTCGGATGTCGTGGGGACACCAAATGCATAAAAATACCGTTTTTTCCTTGGACAGTGGACACCCAATTTCATGAAAATTGAAAAGAGTGTCGATCATAACTAAATGGTAGTTATGTATGCTGGGGTAGTGTTTACAGCAACCTTTAAGCCCCTAGTACCTTTCCAAGCCATTTTGCAGAACAGGGCAGTGCATGCAGGCACTTCGGGCATGATGTTACTGGTAATATCAGCCTTGGGCACCGGGCCCGGTTATTATTTAAAAAAACAAAACAAAACAAAAAAACTTTGGGCATGATGTACCTTAATAGTGCCTTTTGACCCGAAATCCATCCAAGGCAAAGCGGGTCGCTTGCGAGGCCGGATTTGCCTGGATGGATTTCGGGCGAAATGGAAGCCAGGTACATCCCGTCCGACGTGCCCCTATGCACTGCTTGGTTCTGCAAAATGGCTGGGAAATGTACTGGTGGTTTAAGTTAAACATGTTTTCATACTGTTAAGTCAGGCGGACTTTCTTCATACTAGACACCGCTATGCGAGGGTGCAACACTACTGGGAGCGCTGCGCCTCGTCCCAATAGTGCGTTATCGTGGAGTGACCGGCGGCGCCCCAACGGTTCGTGCAGGCTTTCACTCGGAGGGCGCGTGGTGGGGATCTTTTTCTGGCAGCGTTTGCATGGATAGTTTCTTGAGCCGCTGGATATGGAGAGGGACAGGGGAGGCGATGAGTTGCATAGGTTGTCCGAAGGGAATAGCTGGTGGGGAAGATGAAGTCTCCTTTGGTATGGCTGAGAGCTCGAAGATTATAGTGGTAAGGTCATACCATGGTTACTCGGATTGGTGAAGGTTGGGAGGTTAACATGAGCTGGTTGGGCGGGTGGAGGTTTTCTTCAGATCTTTTGTTCCTTTCCTTCTTGTCTCGCCCTCCTTGCCTTTCTCTCCTCTTTTCGTCGTCTCTACTGCCTTCACCTTTCAGGTGGTCCTATTATCGGATGAAAGTGGGACAGAGGAAGTGATTATGACAGTGATGAGGCCACTGGAGGTTTTTTCGGCGTCTGGCTGGTGGAGCGTGTGAGATGGCGGAAACGGCAATCTACATACTAGGCGTCTTGTCAACATGAAATGTTCTTCTCTCTCTCTGGACTGCCAGCGAGGGGCCGTCGACGGGCTTGGCGGCTTTTCGTCTCACTACGTGGCTGATACAAGGTAAGTCAAGGCCACGGTCTGATTGTCTTCGTCGTTCAGCCTTATGCTCTGATGGCTGCAATGGGTTACAGGCCACGAGATGGTCGATTTGCTGTTCAGCCAACGAAGGAGGAGGTGGAGGTTGGGAGGGGGGAGGGACATAACATGGTTGTGGAAACGATAGCATTTGCATGTCAAGACACCTTGTAGATCCTCTGCAGTTTTCTGATAGGTAGTAATTTGGTTTTCTCTGAGTCGTATCCTCATGTTGTTTTTCAGATCCTGGTCCATCCTCATCTTGCGTACCTGGTAGGTATCTGACTTCTAGTTCTATATGCTCAAATTTCCGATTTAAATCTCATCGTGATAATAATTTGGTGGGTGCTGGCACTAGAACATATAGCCCGCATGGCCCCATCGGCCCCAAGTGGAGTCCACCCGCTTATATGGCTAGAAGACAGGTACTGGTCAATCCCTCGGAAAATTCAGGGCCAGCCACTGGAACCCGTTCTGGCCTTCGTTACTGAAATGCTGGCGTCAACTACCCCTCCCTGAAAAGCATGCACCTGAACGATGGGAGGATGTGGCTCGACAGCCACGTTTTGGCAACCGGTGGATTACACCTCACTCAGGGCAAGTGCTCTGCAGCTCAGCATCACCGTGGAAGGGGTGGGTGCAGCATGGGATCATGCGGGTGGGGACGTATTGGTGGATTACTATTCGATTGGGCTGACAAACCAGCTGAGGGGCTCCCACAACTGTCGGGTTTCCCACCGGGCTACAGCTCGTTGTTTAGAACGGAAAGGCTCGGGCATGCTTCGCGTGTTTCGTTTTCATATCAGATCTCGTCGTCGTTTGCTGGTCAGTTCCGAATCCGACGTGGATGGTCTCAGCCGAGTGGCTCTTTCCTTATGCTCGTCCTCACTCCGTATTCGGTAGTGCAAGCCCTTCGCTTCGTAGCGATCGAAACACTCGCACTCCGTGCACAGAGTGCGGGGCCAATGGGGCGCCACTGCCGTCCACGGAATGACGATCAACTCGTTAAACGGCAACAATATCGAGTAGGGTGGAAAGTGCGTAACGATAATGACAAATCCGGCGTCTATGAACCGAGAACAACGGTTGGCCAGAGGGAAGTAATATTGCCCGCTGATTGGTGCGACGGCTTCTCGTACGTCCCACTCACATACACGTGTCCTTTCCTCACTGTGGGGAAAAGGTCGCGTTGGGATGGGAGATACGGGAGGCTGGCGCCCAACCGAAGGGTGCTTGTCAGTCCACATATCAATCAATCACATATATCCAGAGGCATCATTAAGAGCAAAAAAAATCATTAATGCGACCCTCAATCTACCCTTCTTGACACACGAGGGAGCAGACACACATCAGCTTGATCATGCATAGGGCTAAGGGACCGACCCGCGACTCAGTGCAACACAACGTTGGTTTCCGGCGCCTGGTTTCTCAAGGTCGCCTCGTGGTGTGGCTGCTGATGTCATGCCGCATAAGGCAGATGGCATGCGCAGTGCGTTCGAGACTATAGATTTAAACACTCTTGTATTCTCGAACAAAATCCCGACGGCACTCGTCTAATCAATCCGAAAAGTCACGCATCTCTATACATGCATTCACTGTGGAAGGTGCGAAAATGAGACACTCACAGGAAAAGATGGATCGCATTGCATAGTACACACGCATCCACCGTTCACAAGACAAGTCAACGGGGTTCTTTCACACAGAAACAGGATGCCGACTCATTCCCATTCAAGAGAGGGACAATTATTCAGACGCATCGTCTTTCGAGAAGAAAGAGAGAGAGAGAGAGAGAAAGAGAGAGAGAGAGAGAGAGAGAGAGAGAGAGAGAGAGAGAGAGA